CAGAGAGATTAAAAACTCATTCTCACAGATAGGGTATGTGGAGTAAGAGCACAGGGCTGAATTGAGGCATTCCTTGTGGGGAATTGGCATGGGATAGTTTTAGAGTGAAACAAACCTTCAGGAACAAAGAGCAGGTGGCAGAGAAGTGTGGCTGCTCTCCTCTCCAGGGACCCACTGATGAAAGGTATGCATAGGAGATCAAGATTTGAGCATAGCTGCACGAGCCATTCACAGACCCAGCATGTGTGCTTGAATGGCTACCCCAGAGCCATCCAGAGTTGAGATTATCTTCAGTACTCTGATATTATTGCCTAAGCCAGTTACATGGGAGCACTCAGGCATGAACCATCCCTTGTGAGACAACATGGACAGGTCCTACAGGACTGAAAAGTTTGTAGATTGAGGAAAGAAACTGCAGAAGACAAGATGGAGATGAGGACTGGAGAAAAAGGCAAGCCTGGAAATTGAGAATAAACTCCAAATTCACTGCAATGAAGATCAAGTGATCCTGAAATAGGGATTTAATTTTTTTTCTCTCCTAAATTGGACAAAAGCATCCTAATCTCCAATATTCAGGGTGATGTAGCAAGGTTTTGTGGTCCATGTGGTTATATTTCAGCTGTTGAATAGACTCTACAGAGGTTGACCTATGTGGTGAGAAACTGGAGGAATGCAGAGATATACTCACTTGGCCACACCAGAGGATGGGAAGGTATCCTCTGAAGTGGCCAATGTGTCTTGTCTGTCACCAAACCTTCCTGTAAGTGTTCTCTACTGCCCAGGATCAGATGGGGGACAGGGGAGGTTGATCTGACCTGGTGTAAGTTTTGATGTGGTATATACTACTGTGAGTGGAGACTTTATAATATGCCCTCACTAGGGAAATGTGGCACCTGACTGGTTTTAGACATGGTGTGAGTTGTTTGCAGTTAAGTAATTTTTGTAGTTTTGGGGGCTTTTAAAACTTGACATAGGGACAGTTAATGTTGAGGAACCAACAGTTCTGTTTGTTTGCTGATAAATGGCCAGTAACTTCTTTAATAAAGTTCAGGATACTTTTTTATCTGTTAGGTCACAATGATATGTTTACCAAATGGTAGGGCAACGAGTAAGAAAAGGAGATGATGAATTTCAACACATTGCAGAGAAGAAATATTGACAAGATTATTTGGAAGTAGAATTGATTTATTTCGCTAGAGGTAAACGCTGTCTGAGCTTGCATGGAGGTCAAACTTCTGTCTGGCCAGTTCATCTGGGTTTTGTTAAATTGGGGAAAAAAAATCCATTAATGGATTACTTGTACTATGATTGCATCAAACAGTATGGTGACTTTGCAGTGAAATAATAGACACTACGGAAAAGCAACACTGATTTCTTTTTCTTCAATGGAGTTAAAATGGAATAACAGAAAGATAACTTCTAGGGAGAGGCAGCATCTTTTCTTAGATGAGTTGTTTAACTTGGAAAAACTGCCTAATAGAATATTCAGATGAGAGTGAAGATATTCTGATCCCATATAATGAAGGTGGTAGGAGCTCATAATTAGATGAGGACATCCACTAATGCATTGGGAGTGTGGGGGGAAGGGGAAAGCGATTGCTAAAAACTTCTAGAAGTGCATAAGAACTCAAACATGAATGAGGATTCCCCAATGACAGGTGCCAACAAAGTAATCAAAATCTAAAGAATAAATAGGAAATATACAGAAAATATTAAGGTTGTGTAGCTGTGCTAATTAAAAAAACAAAACCAAAACAAAAAACAACCTACTAAAACAATCTTTTATGCACAATAAGATAATTTTTTGTGCTTTAACTCTCAAACTAGAAATTAATTATTTAAATATCTTTCACTGTTTTTACAAAATACAGTCATTAGTATAAGAGTACAAGTAACTGGGTAGAGCATATTTTCCAAAATGGTGCAGAATAACACCACACCACACAGATAAATGTTTAGAGAGAGTCTGGTGTGGAGCTGGATGCTTGGACAAAAAACATGTATGGGTTAGCAAACACTGGGCTCTGTCAAGAAGCAGTGCTGACCTCATGCAGCCTGTTAGCTCTCCTTTGCTTCTGGCTCTGTGCGTGAACCGATGCTGTTTTCTTTACTGTCTGGCTATTGCTGGTATGTTTAATCAGAAGAAGCACAGGGCACCTCTGGAAGAATGAAAAAGACTAGAAGGAATGACGACAGCAACATGGAGAAATAGAAGCAGACAGAGGTGAGGCAGCAACAGTAGGATGTAAAATCTTTCAACTCGAGGTTGTAAGTTGAGGTTTTGGGAAAGAGCACTAGTGACTGGCTGCAAGTTACTTCTATCTGGAAGGCTAGCTGAAATGTGCTCTTGTCTCGAACTCAAATAGCTGCTGCAATATCTACTGGTGGGACATGAACACATGGATAGATAAGAAGAGCAAAGCTCTTCCACATCCTGTGTTGTGGTGTCCTCAGGGGATAGCATGGAAACATAGTGATGGGGGTCAGCTGTGGAAACCTGCACTGCACATGCTGTGATTATTCCCTGGAAAGCACTATGTACACGGCCCCGAGGCAAGCACATCTTACGGAAGCACTGTAGACTGCAACCCTTCCACAGTCCGTCTTTGACTTTAGTACTACTATGCAGATTAGACTACTCTAACCCTGCCATGAGGGGCAACTCTGCCCAAGGGGACTACCTGCAAAACTTCTCTACTACAAAATGTACATATTCTCAAGTCTGTAATGCCTCTTGTACGGTGTGGATGGGATACTCTTGAGCAATTTCTTGTGACCTTCTGAACAGTAACACAAATGATGGAAAGAGTTTAGAAGAACAAGGTAAATAATTATGAACTTGTGTTATAAATCAATAGTCTTGTAATTTCTCTCACCCTCAAGACTGTACTTCCATACATGTGAAAAATCACTTAATTGCTTAGCCTGGATTTTGGTGCAGTTGTCTAGACAAGCTGTCTAAACACAGACCTTGGAAGCTTTGAGATTTGTCTCATGTAAGTTAGTGAAAGAAAATTGCTCAGCTTTTCCTTCTATATATATGCTTCAACAACAACAAAAAAAAAGGTCCTTCCTTTTTCTCATTTGTAGTATAGTTTCTAGTCAGTTTTCTCAGGGAAATTAGACTACAGTTTCTAAAGATGATCTCTTGTTTTCAGGTTTGGAATCAGAGTGGCATTAGCCCAGAGAAAGGGCAATGGATCACATAATCTCAGCTGGACAACAGAAACAAAGATACTCCCTGGCTCAGGGAATTTAACAAGTTCATTCTAAAGCAGAAAAATTCCCATGATAGAAAGAAGGGATGGTCATCTCATAGTGAAGTATGCCAAGTTTAAATCAAGGCTTCTGCCACAAGCGTGGCAGTCTTCAAACACTATGTTTTAACTGTAATTCATATCGCTTCAAGGTACTAGCAATTCTAAATCAATATTTTGGCTGTGTATTGGAATGCAATGTTGCCGTGGAGACTGAGACACATCTTGCCCTTAGAATTAGATGAAAATACATGTGTACAAGAGGAGGAAATACAATTGATTTGATATTCCTGTGTGGGATAAAGCTTAATAAACTTATTTGTATCTACTCTTCCTGCTTGTTGCAATGAATTTCAATACTCTTCTGTCCTTTCATCATTATAAAGTCACAGTATCTTTCTTCAGGATTTTATTTTCCTGACACCCTCCCATCTGAAGTCTCATGAAATGGTATGAAGTGTTCCTTAGGAACCTATGGAAAGAGCTTTTTACAGGAATTTTGCAAGCACTTAAGTAACTAATGAGGCACCTAAGGCTCCTGATGGAATTTCCTCTGCACCTATTGCAAGTACATCCAAATGATCTGTCTATGGTTTGAGCAGCCTCTGAGTGGGCAGCAGGTAACTTGACTCATGCAGTGCTATTTATTACTGAGATTCAGCTAGGATGAATTACACCTGAGGCAAATCACTCCTCCCAGACTCTTTAAAATAATTCTCACCTTTTCAATCCACAACAGTTTTCTGCAATATTGTGCATTCCCCCTCAATTTTTTCCATGATGAACAGATTTATTTTTCATGGACTTTCTGCATGAAAATTCAGCTTTGACAGCCAGTCTGTAGCCTGGTTTATCATGGAAACAAGGGGTATGAGCTCACACAGTTGGTTTGACTGTCTCCCACTAAAGACTGTTGAACTGATTGACTGCTTGTGACCAATTCTGGTGTGATGCAAGGAGGAATTGACAATTTTCCCATCATGAGCTAGAAATGCAGAAAATTACCTCAAGGGATAACTGACATCTGCAGGGAGCAGGGAAGAAGGCTGTGTGTACCATATGAGCTATGGCTGACAGGATGGCAGATACAGCTCTCCTAACAGAGCTACTTCTTAGGTTTGACTCTTTCAGCTTAAAAAAAGGCTTTCTCTTGAAGTTCTCTGGGCATCACTTGGTATTATGGAAACAGAGAAACCTCTCTTTATCCAGACTGTCTTGCTTTACTGTCATTAACCAAGGATTTCTGTAGGCAGGAGTTCTCTTTGTATTGCTCTGTTCTATCACTAATCTTTATAAATAGATATAGCCACTTGACCACATCCAATCTTATTTCAACAGGTGAAAAAAGTAGTACACATGAGAACTCTGACACCAGTGGAATGAAACATTAAACTGGTGTAAAAATAAAGAGAATCAGAACAACTAGGAGGCCTATTGTTACTGCTGCACTTGTTTTACTCCATCTCCAATTATAAGACCCTACAGTCTGTTTCTATAATAAAGGCAGGTAAAAAAAATTGTTTTGGAGGTATTTTTACAGAAAGATAAGACATTCAAATCTTGCAGCTCAGATGACACCAGTCCAGATTTCCAGGGCTGAGAACAGCAGCTCATCTGGGAAACAATTTTTTGTGGTGTGTTGTAGTCCATGTGAAGTCCTGTTTATGTCTTATCCACGCTTCACTAAGTTAAGAGCATTCTTAGTTCCAAGCCTGTATGCCAGCAGGTCTGTACTTCTCCTACCTGTTTGTGAGGATAAACATTAATGTGGCACTTGATACATTCTTGTCCCATGTTAGCCCAGGAGTTTCCACTCATCCATTTTCTCTTGCATTTGGGGCACTTATATTCACCGAAGCAGCGTTTCTTGCCCTGGTATGGAGTCAGGCCTTCTCCTTTTGGACGAGCCTACAAGACAAAGGGAAGTAGCAATGAATGACCAAAAAGGGGTGTGTGGGAGTAGTAGAAAAGTAAGAGTTTGGTGGGTTTTTTTTGTTTGTTTGATTGTTTGTTTTTTATTAGTAAACTTCAGGCAAAAGATACTGGAGGCTGACATGAAGGTCATATCCCCTTAATGAAGAGTTCGTATGTTGAACATAGAGGTTAACAGTTCTGAGACTTACTTCTGCTAGAAGTATTCAAAAGTTCAAGAAGACTTGTAAAACTTGTAAATGACACTGAACGTAATATTTAGAAATATGCGTGTGTGCTTTTTGCAATGAATAGTTTTAATATCTATTTCATTATGATAAAATCATCTCTACTGAGTACTTGTTACTGGTATTATTGCATCTGAAGATGTAGCTCACTAGTGAAGGACTATATTTCTTAACTAGATCCTTGTCTATTCCCAACTAGAACCTATCATTAAGAAAACTTTTTGTAATTCAGCTTTGCACAGCCTCTAAACAATGAAACATTGGCAATTAATTAGTATGTAGATATGCATTATTACATGGGAGTGCACAAACTGGGATTGAGTAGGAAGGAAAAATGGTTTTGATTAGTGGAAATTATTAATTTCATGAACTTCATCTGATTTCTTGCTCTTGGTGAACGGTTTCACTGATTTCTACATTTTGAAGAAAATAGGAAGGGATTCTCAAATGAACTGTTGTGATGTCTAAATGTTAAATGTTCCCTAAAGAAAGCCTTTTTATTTGGGGAAGGTAGTAGAGTAGACAGTGACCTTACGCAAATACTGGTTTTATTTTTCTAAATACATCCACTAAAACTGTGAGTTGTACTTAACAAAAATATAGTAAGGTACATAATAAGCTAATACGTCAAGGTGAAGATGAAACTATTGTATACTGCTGTCCTGAAGATAGCTGTAAAAATGAAGCCATTTTCTCAGTCTCTAGCAGGTATTGAAATACTGCCTGTGTATTCACTGTATTTTGTTTATTGTTGCCTAGAGGGAGACACTTCACCTGTAGAGTGGCATAGTGGCAGAATGGTATGATTACCTATCAAAGGATTCTTTGCCATTTATTTATATCTCATGCCTCTGCAAGTTTGTTGTTTTTTTTTGTTTTTTTTTTTTGAGATTCCCAGATGAAGTTTACAAAAGTTAAATGACCCAACATGCTGGGAAAGGTTTGTTTTTGTTTCAGAAGCTTGTATGATTTCTCAGTGTGTAGGTCGAAATTGCTTTCTTTGTGACAATACGGGCTGAAAAGGCAGGTGGTTGGCACAAGACCTGAGCTTGGCAGGAGCTCTGAGACTTGAGCTCCTGTGGCTGATGGAGATGGTGTACAGTGTTACCTCTGGGGTTGCACGTGGGAGCAAAAGTGAAAGGAACACTGGATGCGTTCCCCGACTCTGCATGCTGATGGGCAGTAGAGAAGCAGGGGGACCCCAAACATATTCTGGCCTCTGTGTTTTTTGTTTTGGGTTTCTTTTCTTTTTTTTTTTTTTTTTCCCCTGTAGTGTCAGTAAACAGCATTCTCTTGTTCATGCTTATTTTTCAGCATAGCAATATTCTTGAAAAGATCAGATGCGGTAGAACCTCCATTACAATTAGACAAATGTCTATAATAATTTGTTTCATGATGCTCAATTTGACAAGCCACTGTAAACATTCTGGCTCATAGCAAAGATGAAGCTGACACTAGGACACATATTTACAGAAGTACTGAACAGAATTAAAAAAAAATAATTGGTATAATGAGAAACACTTGGAGTTCCATGACTAAATGAGTGCTGGGAAGCACCTGGAGTTTAATCATCTGATCCATGGTGTCCCTTGATAAGGATGGGAGATGTAGGGCAGGAAAGTGTTAATTTATGGAGACATCCTTATTCTGGACACTTAATTTGGCTCTGTCTCTGAGGAATTTGTAGCACAACTCAAGTCAGTGTCAGAAGTACCTCCACATTCTCTTCATTTAGAAATTTTGACGGAATTGAATAGGAACCCTGTGTACAGAGAGCAGCCATGATTGAGAGATGTTCCCCTTCCTCCTGAGGCATCACAGATTGCTTTATATGTAGTTTAAATTGGGGCTCTGTGATTGAACAGAAGATGAGTTATTTCTGATTCACAGTTTCAGCTGTATTCTACTTAAACTCTTCCTGCAGTCTGACCTGGGAATGCAGCTTCATTGCCCCTACTAAGAAGCAGTCCTTTCAGAAAATGTGTAGGTCACCGAGTGCATTATTTCCAAAAGCAATAGCACTGACTTTGGAGATAGAGTGTGTCTGAGAAGTCTTGTAAATGTTTGCAAACAATATTTAAATATAACACCCCCACTGCAATATGTTATGCCAGCCATAAAGAGCATTTAAACATCAGACTCCCACAGCAATGTGTTGCATTAGCCACAGTCACAGACGGGGGAACTCAGAGATGGCCACTTTGAGTTGCCCAGTAACTATAGGTTTCTCCAGGTCAGGTAGCTGACTTCAGATGCCAGTGCCCTGAAATGCTCTGCCCACACAAACACACAGCAGGACACTGAAGATGCTAGTCAGTGAAGTCCTCAGTGTGTACAGCTGGGCATCAGAAATGGAGGCTTTCCAAATTAGAAGCTACTTTTGAAATTTGGCTTCTCTAGCTTGCTCATTAAATCGGAAGCAGAACCAGGAAAAGAATGTAGGAGCCTTGACTCCAGTAGTAATTTCCTGTTATAATTGCTAGACTAAACTTCTGATTTATTTTAACTTTTCGGCTCTTACAGCTTTCCTCATCAGTCAGTGACTTTAGTTTGCTGGCAAAGCTACAACATTCTCTGTAGGTGTTTCGCTATTCTGCTTTATGGATGTTTATACTTTGCCCTGACAGATATTATTTTTCTTCCCATATCTTCAGTTTCCCAAACTGTGCCCCACAGGGAATTTGGATTCTCAAACAAGCAAGCTCATTTTCTCTAGTGAGAAACATCATTAGGAAGCACTGACAGCAGCAAAGGCAACTCTCCAACTCCCTCCACCCTTCAGGTCCAAACAAAACATAAATTTGACAGTATTTGGTGGAAGGTAAAACCTGAGTGAGATACACTAATGGCCTGAGAGGTCTGAGGCTGGCTGTGTTTTTAGTTTGGTTGGTTTTTTTTTGTTTTGTTTTTTTTTTTTTTTTTTTATTATTATTTTTCTTTTCTTGTTTTCTTTTCTTTTTTGTGTCCGTGGCTTCAGCAGCAGCACAGTTGAATTGCATCAACATTTCCAAGAAACAGCCTGCTCCTTGGCGCAGACGCAGCCAGCCCTGCTCAGCAGGGTGCTCAAGCACCCGGTCGCTCTGCAACAGAGGTGTCTCAGTGCTCATCCAGCTGGAGGGCAAGAACTGTTTTCAGCAAAGGTTTTTCTTAACTGAGTGCCAAAAAGAACATGAAGACACATTTTGTCTTTTGGTATTAATCTAAAGACTGTTATTTTACAAAATGCAGCATTTACCTTGTTTAAACCATTAACCTCCTATTTCCTTCCCACCCTGGCTTGATTTGAATGATGTTTAATAATAAACTTTGGTGTTTAGGTCCTGCATTTCTGTCACTGAGCATTATCTTTTCTTACTCTTTCTGCGGATGGGGATTTATTTTTGTTCTGAGTTAACCTGGTGTGATGGTTTGAGCTGGGATAGAGTTAATTTGCTTCATAGTAGCTAGTACGGAGCTGAAAATAGTGTTAATAATTCAGGGGTGAGTTAGTTACTGCTAAGCAGAGTTTACACAGTCAAGGCCCTTCCTGCTCCTCACCCCACCCCAGCAGCGAGTGGCTGGGGGGGCACAAGGAGTCGGGAGGGGACACAGCCGGGACAGCCGACCCCGACTGACCCCAGGGCTATCCCACACCGTACGGCGTCAGGCTCAGCAGACAGAGCTGGGGGAAGGAGGAGTGATGGTGTTTATCCTCCCAAGTAACTGTTACGTGTGTTGGAGCCCAGCTCTCCTGGGGATGGCTGAAAGCCTGCCTGCCAGTGGGAAGTGGTAAATGAATTCCTTGCTTTGCTTTGCTTGGGTGCACGGCTCTTGCTTTCCCTATTAAACTGTCTTTATCTCAACCCAATAGTTTCCTCACTTTTATTCTTCTGATTCTCTCCTCCATCCTACCAGTGAGGAGTGAGCGAGCAGCTGGGTGGTGCTTAGTTGCTGGCTGGGGTTAAACCATGGTACCTGGCAAAGTTATGCCCCTATTCCTAATGGCAAAATATTTTGTTGTTACCGTGTTAACATACACTGTCCTGTTGCTTTTAGGCTCAGGTAGTCTTTGGCCTTGTTTCTAACTCTGGCTGAAAAAGCTTGGTGGAAACTCTGTCTTTACCATGTTTGAAATAATATTCAAACTAGGTTACAAACCTTAATGTGCACAAGGTTTTTACATTTTCAGCATTCTTTTTGTCTGAGGAGTTGACAGTGATACACTTTAAATGCTGATTTGACAAGCTTACTCTGTAAAACCTAAATTCCCAGCATTTCTCCTGATATGTGACTGTATGTCTCTCCAACAGCTATATGTATCTTCATTCAGACATTTCAAAGATTGTTCAATGCAGCCAGGACTGGTGGGCCTTTGGGGATGATGAAAACCAAACAGAATTTTCTAGAAGGACCAGAAACTAGCCATTACTTGAAGTATGTCTCAGTGTCCAGATCTAGGCCTATGCAATAGATTCTTTGTGCTGATTTGACTTCAGAAATCAGCAGGGGATTTGCAGAAAGGAAAGCCTTCCTTCCCCAAGGTACCCCTGGAGTGGGAGCTGTGGCGGCCCAGAGTCCGTTCCTGGCTTGTGGCCCTTGGGCACAAACTGAAGCCAGTGTTGGACTGGTAGTGTTAGTGATGAAGCTCGAGGGGACTCTCTCTGGCCTTGAATTCGGGAAGCCACATGGATTCTGCAAAAGCCCTTGCTGGGCCCTCTGTCCGCTAGCAGTTAGCCAAATGAAAGGACTTTGCCCTCTGATTCATGAGAC